ATACCCCTCCCCCACCTATACAGTCACAACACTCCCCCCTCCCCCCTGTCCTTGAGAATCGACCTCTGACCTCTACATGATCCACCATCTGTCTGACCAGGTGATGGTGCAGCTCCCAGCCAATGGGCAGTCTCAGCCACTTGCCCGACTGACGGTCGAAGAAGAAATGGACGTAATGTCTCTCCTGTGGACGGACACAAGACATGCACTCATTGAGTACGGACAAGGGGGGAGAGGGAGCGGGTGGTGGGGAGCGGGGTGGGGGGTCTGGATGTAACAAGACGTGAGGAAAGGGGTGGGGCGGGATGAAGGAGGTGTGGGAAGAGTGCTTATCTTCAGCTTTAGTTACAGTTTTAGGATATTTGAAACACAAATAGTTTGTCGAAGATTAGAAAAATACACACCCACTTGAACGTAGAAGCACTACTAATTAAGATACATTTGCATTTAGAGCAAAAGCAGATTTAAAAAAATAAAGCTGTCATAATTCCTGGTTTCAAATGGAAAACCCTGTCAAATAAATTTCGAACGCAAAACAAATGCCAAAAATTAGAGAAATACACACCCACTTGAATTAAGATATCATCGTTTTGCGCAAAAGACAGGTTTTTCTTTAACTCAATAATTCCTGTTTTCAGAAGGAAGACACTGTCAAATAGAGTTCCAAAGCAATACCTCCATGAGATAGGTTTCAATGCGTCCCCTCTTGGGATGTTTGAGATATCCTTCTCTGTCGTCATGCTCCTGTTTGTTGTTCGTATTGCTTCGGCTTTGGTTGTTGCTCTCATTCGTCTCCTGCAAAACGATAGAGTTAACATTTTCATAGATGAAATTATCGACTTAGTCACTGACAAGTTTATTGCTCACTTTTTCTCGGGCCAACGCTTTGAAAAAAAACCAACATGGAATGGGTTTTAACGCCCCTATCAACACTATTAGGTTATATAAGGGGCGGGACCTCCTAGTTTAACGTCCGTCTCCGATAGGACCGAGCCAAGTGGGAAATTCGTGTAAAGTGCCTTTCCCAAGGACACAACGTCGGACCGAGCTGAGGCTCGAACCCACGAACCCGCAATCTCACGATTACGAGTCCGGTATCCTAACCACTAGGCTACCGACGCCGCCCAACGCTGTATCATTGGGAAAAGTACTTAACACAATACATTTAAACACTTCACAAAAGTGTGAAGGGTTGGGTACCCTGCTACAGACGACAAAAGATCTTGTCAGTACGTCAGTGTTTTAGCGCCTGTAAAATGGCAGCTTGCACTGCACGCTCCCAAGGAAGTTGAGACTGTTTCAGAATCGGGTCTGCTAGGGAAATAATATTAAACGATTTAGAGCGCACATAGCTTGCTATTGAGCAGGAGTTTGCACCATTCATAATATATTATTTACTATCATAATTATGATAATTGTTTTTTTAAATATTAAGTACACGTATAGGTAATTAAAGGAGTTTAACGACCTCTTTTAACACTGTCAGATTATAAACAATAATAATCGTAAGCTAGATACACACTCAATGTTATTTTGGTGCATGCTCTAAAGTAGTAAGTATACTTATACAAGATGGTTAAGCTGGAAGCATTTTGATAGATGATGGTAAAAATGACCTTCTGTAACTTATCAGAAGCCTAGGTCTTTTACTTCTGACTGATGTTTTTATTTGAGGGAACAAGGGATGTTTGTTGTCTAAAAAGATGGAATTAATTTTCATACCCCCACCTACTTAATTCCAAACAGAGCATTAAAGAACACAGACTCGTCACTACATGTGGTCCCCATTCATCATTATCATCCAGTGCCAGATCTGCGACAGACATCGGCGATCATGGTTCTCCATTCATTCCTTTGCTCGGATGCTCTAAAAAAAGCTACGTTTCCTTGAACTTTCCCTGTTACCCATTTGTCTAGGTTCCCTAAGTATGTTGTTCTGGGCCTTCCCCATTACCCACCAAAACTACAAAATCAGCCACTAGTTGGCATTACCATCCAAGTTGACTTGCACTGTATCATTGTGACTTACGTTTGACTGCCCGCTGTCGTCCATAGGAACAATTCGTCCTTCCGAGTACCATCTTTCTGGGAACGGCTGCCACTCCTGAAAAATATAGGACGTAATTTTGTAGTGATCATGACATTTACTATAATTAATATTTGTTTATGAGTCTTGTTTGTTTTAGTAGAGGTTTTAGGGCTCTCGCAACTGCATAAGGTCATATGAGCGTCAGAAGATTAAAAGCGTTACAAGAGAGTAACAAACATAAAAAAGAAGGAGGGGAGATAAGGACGGTAGATGTTTGATAGGAAAGAAGAAGCAAACCACACCAGAGCACCCGCCAACCACCCACATTTCTGAGTCTCATCTTCGTCATGCCGTCAAATAAATAAAAACGGCATCATTTCTATAACAATCTCTTTAGTTTTAGTAAGGGGTTTACGGTACTTACAACACAAACAGGTGGTATAAGACAAGTGCCAAAGATTAGAGGTGTTTCTAGGGAGTAACATGCGAAGAAAAGAAGGTGAGACAAGGACTACAGATGTTTGATAGGAAAGATGGAGAATACTACACCAGAGCACCTGCCAACCATCCACTAATCACTCTAATTATGAATCACCTCTTTAGTTAACAACACCCTCATCCCTGCAATCAAAATTGGCAATATCACCACCTTGATGCAAGGCTTTGAAAACTTCCTAAAAATACCGAAATCCAAAAATGCCCTAATCGGGTTTCGAAATATCAATACTAATTTCTATGTCATCAAAATTACCATTATCATAGCCAAACATGAGACGAACAGACCTAACAGAGTGCCCAAATTATTGTAGAAAGTGTACTTATTACAAAAAGACTCAAATTTTTCTGATTATTTGACATAAAAAAGAGAAGCAAAATACATAAACTAACAATAATTTCGTGGATAGAAAAAGCAAGATAGACAGAAAAAACGCAGGGAAAGAAAGGACGAAGGCGCTACTATATAAAGGGCGGCCCCCGACCACCCGCAAAGTAGTACTTCGGCGACCCGTCAATCAATGCTTTGGCCAAATATTATTATTATTATAATTCCATAGTTCCATTGTTTCAGGATACAACATTCTTGCAATCCGGACGCGTCCCATTGATGCTCCATTGCTCTCTTCAAATTGATGCTGATTGTGCAAGTGCATATCTGGTTGAACGTTCTTCTGTTCTTTCCTGGATATTCTGCTTCCTTTCTGTACTCCCTAATCCATCATCCTCTCCACAACACTGGCCTCTGCCTCCTTATCTTCCCCTTCCATCAGGTGGCGAGAGAGACATTTCAGGATCTCGACCTTGTCTGGTAGAACCGTGCTGTCTCCTTAGGTGGCCTCACCAGCCAGTCTGTCGGCTTTTTCATTTCCTTTAAAGCCTGCAGGGCAAGAGCAGAAAATACATGCGAGCGATCATAATGGCGTTGCTTCGATCAGATGAATCCATTCTGGTCTCACGAAACCCTTTTACGATGTTTCTGAGGGTACACATGGAATCTGTGATGAGAACAACGTGGGTTGTGTGGGGCGATCTTAGGTCATCCATTCAAGTGCTTTCGGGAGGGCTTATTATTATTATTTCTTTTTTAAAACAAACTATAACTTACGTGTGAGTGCCAGTCATCCAAGTAGTACCTGCGACCATTCCGTACAGCACAGATGAATTCTCGGCCGTTTTTGTGGACGAATGTCTCAAATACGACGTCAGCCTCCTGTGAGTATGCGTGAGTGAGCGCGTGTGTGCGTGAGTATGTGTGTGTGGTGAGTGTGTATGTGCGTGTGTATATGTGTGTGTGGTGTGTGTGTATGTGTGTGTGGTTGTGTGTGTGTGTGTGTGTGTGTGTGAGGGAATAAAAAGGGCGGTGGGGGGGTGTTGATAAGAAAATGTAAGTAATATAAAGTTTGGAACTGATGGCTAAGAGAGACTAGACTTTATAATACAATGCGTATGTATATAATATAATATCATGTATTTCAAAGCTTGATCTTTTATGTAGGCTTCACGAAAAGCGTTTGCAAATGATCTAAAAGCTTCAAAAACTAAGCTATTTGGAAATATTTTGCAATTGAAGGGGAAAAAATAGAGCTTGCCCGACCAGCCCAAAAATACACTAACATGATTTTAACATCGTTCTGAAGACCAGAAATTTTACTGTTCATTATTGACTTCTCTGATCACTTTAAAAAAAACAACTGATATTGCTTCGCAAGTATTTAAAACAAAGCAACCAATAAACGGATCTTCAATCATCAAAAAGGTTAGACCTTTGTGAAATAATGTTTCATCCATGGGGATCTGAGAGGCTGTTTCAGAAAACTGTAGATGTTTCTTTTGAACAATAACTTCTGGGGTAAGAGTCCTGAATAAGGAAGTTACAGCACGAGAAAGCTGTTACATATGTGCAGTTGATTTGTATGTTCATGGCTTAAGTTTCTGGAACTAGCATGCAAAGAATGTCACCTAGCATAAAAATGAAAAGACATATCATTATACCTAATAATAAAAAAAAAACAACAACAACAGAGCTATGCAACAATCCAATTATTATTAGACATTATTAGCATTTCGTTAACAAGCAAAGGATAATCATATTATTGCAACCTAGCCAAGCATCATCACATTTGTTTCAGTCAGTAAAAAAACAACATTCATGTGATTAGAGAAATTGTTGCAGGAGGTTAGAAGAAGACATCGAATTTACGTTTTCCTTTGTGTTCAATCGGATCTCATTCTCTCTCTCTCTCTCTCTCTCTCTCTCTCTCTCTCTCTCTCTCTCTCTCTCTCTCTCTCTCTCTCTCTTTCTCTCTGTGTGTGTGTGTTGAGTGAACGTGCGTATGTGTGTGTGTGTGTGTGTGTGTGTGTGTGTGTGTGTGTGTGTGTGTGTGTGTGTGTTTATGAGAGAGAGAGAGAGAGTACGAACGTACGTGAGTCTTTTTTTGTATTTAGGTCTGTGTGTATGTGTTTGTGTGTATATGTTTGTGTGTGTGTGTGTGTGTGTGTGTGTGTGTGTGTGTGTGTGTGTGTGTGTGTGTGTGTGTGTGTGTGTGTGTGTGTATTCGCGCATGTTTGTGTGTATATAGGTTCCTACAACAGTGTTCATTGTTTATAGACCAAAAGGTATAACCATGTACCTATCTTTAATCAATTAAGAATGTTACAAAAAAGTAAGTTCGAGTCACATAAAAAACAACTCAAGAACTACATACAAAGACAGCCATGTAGAGGTGACAGCATGTATAAAAATGCTGCCAAGTTAACGATATTATGAAGACTACAGGGAGAAAACCGGTGATGTCCAAATCGTACTCCTCTTTTCAAATCCTAACTGAGAAACACAATAATGACACAAAAACTGAAGCCAGAATAAAATAGCAACTAGATCTAAATGAATATCTCAACAGTAGAACATCAAACTTCTAAGAATCTTACACAGTGACAGGAAAGAAACGGGACATCTCTGATTCTAAATTTTTAGTTAGCAGGAAAATGTAACATCACAAATTTTCCCCAGTAGTCCTCATAATTATGTATAATATTATAGTTATGTACATAAAGAGAACATTTAACTAAGAGTGTCCGTCGTAATCATCGATGAACGAATTCTAAAAAGAAAAAGAGAATGTATTATTTTGAAAGTAGAGAGCTAAATTATAGTCAAATGCGAAACGTATCGCTCCGATGTGAATCAAGTATAAGAAAAACTACGTAATATCTTTGCGTTTGATCAGCCATCAGACCCAATAGCAATAAATAGATGAAAAAAATATATCTAATCCCTGCTTTGTAAGCTTGAAAAGAAAAAGTAACAGCTAGAGAACTGTTTGTTATATCAAAATCAGTTTCGTTCGCCCTTACCAGTACTACGTGTGTTTGAAGTTAGGGAGGTCCCCGGTATTTAACCCCCCCCCCCCCAACCCCCCAAAAAAAAACCACAAAAAAAAAACCACCATGAGGATACAGAGTCAAGAATATACACCAGTTTGCCACCTAAAATCCAAGCCATGCGATGAAACTTAAAATAAAATAGACCAGAAAGTAATGTGGGGTCTAAAGCTGGATAGAGGATTTACAGTAAATGGCCACACAATTGAGAAGCAGTTGGTGCTAATCATCATAACCAATAACCAAACGAAATTTTATGGAAATCTAATTTTAGCATAATAATCTAGAGAGGTATATTATAGGCTACCAATGATGACAGTAGACCTGTACATAAAGATACAAAGCTCTTAATATTATTTGATTTGATTGTCGAGACGTGGTAGGCAGGGGACTGGCGAAGGTTGTAGTTAAGCAATGAAAAAAAAATGGTACATTGTAGAGCTTGGTTTCTAAAGATCTGTGGCTTTTCTATGACTAAGTCAGGTAGGTACATACTCCTTGAATTCTGCGTCTCTGAGAAAAGAACAGAAGTCAATATAAAAAAAAAACCCGAAAAAAATTAATTAAAAGGCTGTTAACGGCCATTTCACGTTGTTTTAGGCTCCTGTATTTCTGTCAACACTTGGCCTAAACGTATTGCGGAAAGATGAAGAAGGGAAGTGACATTAAGAGATAGATAAAGACACCTGGGAGACGGACGGGAATGGTTGAAATCAAGAAAACAAGGTGTCGTCACAAAGTTATGGTATTAGTATTATGAGAAAGACGGAAGTTGTAATGAAAAAACGTCGGTCTGAGTACATCTTATTTTATTATGACGTGAGACACATTACTAACAGTCTGAAGACAGGAAGTGTAAACTTTAAGTAAATGTAAACTTGGAGGACACATAGGCCTACTGTTCTTTTCCCATTGTGGTGGGTGGGGTGGTGTTTCTTTGGGTTCCTTTGCGAAGTGTTTAGAGATTGGGCAGTTGTTAGTAACAAGGGGGGGGGGGGGGGGTTGTTTTGTTGCTTTTTAAAATTTGTTTTAGTTGTATTTGTATTGCTTTTTAAGAATATGTTTTGTGTTTTTATTACGTTGGTTAGTTGGCGAGTTATTTGTTACAGTTGTTAGCTGTTGTTTTACTTTTTGCTGGATTATTTTTCGGGGAAGGTGTTGAGGCAAACACGGTTCTCATCAAAGTAACGTAATTTTAGTTTTAGTAGGAGTTTTACGGCACTTGCAACACAATAAGGTCATATAAGTGCCGAAGATTAGAGGTGTTACAAGAGAGTAACAAACACAGAAAAGAAGGAGGGGAGATAAAGACGATAGATGTTTGATAGGAGAGAAGAAGCAAACCCCACCAGAGCACCCGCCAAACACCCACAATGTAACGAAGATATTTTGTGACTCATGGTGCTGGGAGACCGCTGTCAACAAATGAATTAGCGAGGAGTAACGAAGAAACAAATACATTTCTACGAAAAGGAAGGGGAATGGGGAGGATGGCGGAGTGGGTGAAAGGAAATAAGGACTTACCATTGCCCACTCAAACGTTCGAGTGGACAGAAGGGAAAGGCTTTTAAAAAGCAAAACCTAATTAAAGCAACAGAGGTTGCAAGATATGGCAAGATGATAGGGAAAGTTTTAAGAATCGCACAATATTAAAAACTAAAAACTGGAAACACATGATGGGAATATTTTGTGCAACATGCAGGCTCAAAATTGGCGTGCTGTGGCTGTACAAGACCACAGCCAAAGAATATCGACCCAAGAATATCAGCAAAAGATGGTCAATCAAATTGTAAAAAGTGCTCATGGGGGAAAAAAAGCAAACAACATTGGAAAACAAAAAAGGGCGAGGTTGAGAGAGAGAGAGAGAGAGAGAGAGAGAGAGAGAGAGAGAGAGAGAGAGAGAGAGGGCGAAAGTGAGCGAGAGAGAGAGAGAGAGAGAGAGAGGATGGGGGGAGGGGAAGGGAGAGAGGGAGGTGGGGGTGGGGAAGGGGACAGAAAACTCATGTTTTAAGTACCGTAACAGTTCGTGAGATGTGAGATGCAAGCCTCATTGATATACAGAATGAAAACGTGGGTGACAGAGTGTTATTTTTCTTAGTGTGATTACTTCGGACAGATTAGTTGTGTCACTTTTAGTTTGTCTGTTCATTCGTTTATCTTTAAAATTGCGGGGTTTGTTCTCTTCTTGTTTTGCTTATCTTTTTGTGTTTTTTCTTTTGTTTTCTTAGTTTGTCTGTGGAGTTAAGTGGGGAAGGTGGGGAGGTGGGATCGTTATTTTTAAAAATCCGTTTCTTTGCTTTAGTTTTTGCGTTTTTGCTGACGGGGGTGGGGCGTCACTATTTACGACGGCATCACAATAAGAAAAAGCTCTTCAATGTGTATTGGTAAGTATAGTATACTTGTGTTGGTGTTAAACAGACTTGGAGAGTGCCGTGAGTCGTTGCCCTTATAGCAAACTTGATGCGGGAAATAAATTCAGTGAAACGTCAGAGCCACAAAACAGTTCATGAAAGAAAGGGAATAAGTCAATCATATTGAACAATCCAGGGTTCCGAGGATTGGGGTTTAGGGTTAGCACAAACGTTAGGTCAGTGTTGTTGCTACTCGTAGGTTAGCACCACAAGCTACTTGCATTCTTTCTCTTGCCATTTGTTTTTGCCTCTTCGCCGTTCTGAAAGTGAAGATTACTGAGGGGTTAGGCTGGAAACCAACATAGGCCTACGACTACATGGCACAGCACGACATGACACCGAATTCGAATAAATCGAAATTAAAAATGGAGGCAATATTGCTATTTTTAAGTAGATGATTTTACGTCCCCATTGACACAATCTAAATTTTAGAGCGGGCTTGGACCATATCTATTACGGCCAATCTAGACAGAAAGGGAAACAACGTCCAAGCAAATGATTAGTAAAAAATATATATGGGGCTGTGGAGGTGTACATGTGTGCACCTTCACTAACACAATGTAGATCGCATATGGAGAAGGATTGCTTCGATATTGTCTTTCAGGGCCGTCCTAAACTGAGTTGGGAAACTGCATTCCATCAGAAAGACAAAGATACTCCATGAAATAGACTTTCCATAACGAGAACCGAACTCCTGATATGTGTGTGCGTGCGTGTGTGTGTGTGTGTGTGTGTGTGTGTGTGTGTGTGTGTGTGTGTGTGTGTGAGAGAGAGAGAGAGAGAGAGAGAGAGAGAGAGAGAGAGAGAGAGAGAGAGAGAGAGAGAGAGAGAGAAAGAAAGTGCGTGTGAAAAGTTTATAAGCGTCAACACTAAAGAAGCCAGTGGGTTATACCTTCCACAAGTTAAGATCCAAAGTGAGGGTCACGGTTACACCTGTTCCAGAATTTTTTTTTCAAATTCGGTGTTGTTCCATGCGAGAGGAGTACCAATAAATACCCAATAGATTGTCATTTCCCTGGCTTTCTGTTTATACAACTTATCAAGAAACACCAGCAAAGAAGGCAGGTGGGTACTTTGATTGATCATTTATAAAGGCCAGGGTCTTTTAAAAGTTTTTATCATAGGTCCTTTTTATTCATTGATAAGAAAAACCATTACCAGAAAGTAGATTTTATACAGGTTATTTGATTTAAAGGATAATTATAATGCTTTTACAAAAGGGCTAATTCTATTTAACTGTACGTCCAGTCTATAAACAAACCGCTTTGTTTCACTGGAAAAAAGAGTCGCCTCAGAAATTGCAAGATGGTCAAATAATGGTTAAAGTATTAAAAAAGCAAAAGGTACACTAGATACCCAAAAAAATAAAAATAAATAAAAGTTATGAGCTTATAAATCTATGCTGTTCAGCGAATAAATAGAAATCAAGCGATCGAAGACTTTGGTCCTTCTAATACGACATGATAAGAGCAAACGAATACAGTCCACGGAATACAGCTAGCCAATGTCAACAGATCTTAAACATGCCTATTGGGAAAGAAGCAGCGAGAGAGTAGGCCAAGAGCAAAGAATCATCAGATAGACAGGAGAAACATAGATTGGCCAAAACAAATAAATGGGTGGGGGGGGGGGGTTAATCAATCATACAGCTTTCCCTTTAATACTACATTCATAATATTCGAAAGATAACAAACATGAAAAAGATCTGTAAACGAAAAAAGCCCATTAAATATTGAAAGACCTGGTATTTTGGGGAAATCAAATAGAAAAAAGCATGCCATATTTAGTTCTCAGAGGTAAAAAAAGAAACTGCATACAAGAATTACAACAGATCCATAGATACAGTAAAGACGGCAAACTGTGAGTCAGAAATGTGCACAAGAAAAGCATTAGTAGTTTTTCTTTTTTTTTTTTCTCTCTTTAAAAAAAAACTCTTACAGGCGCCGTACCAGATGACCGATTCTTTGCAGGTCGACATAGACGTTTCAGCACTTTTAGGTTATTTAAGAAGAGAGATCTCTTAATTTAACGTCCATCTCCGATAGAATCGAGCCAAAAGGGTGGAGAGCCTTAAAATTACCACACCCCCACCCCACAATAAAAAACACTAAAAACTAAAATAACCCAAACTCGGAAGTTCCCGTTAGGGATTTGAACCAGGGCCATCCACTCTGTAGTCCAGCAAAACACCAACTGAGCTAATGGTGGTTTTTTCTTGGCAGATCTAACTGGAATTTAGGAGCCGGAAATTACAGACAGGGGTATTTTGTCGAGAGAAAAAGTAGGACTACTTTATTTCAGCAGCTTGCGACACATAGTGTTCTTTGCCAGATTTGATTCAGTGAAACTTTCATAGAAAAGTCCACGGAAAAAATATTCTAACACTAACATGTTTCCACTCATGATAACTATATTAATTCGAAATATCACAACGACAAAACTGAGGTGCAGGGAACAGTCAGTTAATGAACAAGTGAGAGATATTTAGGAAACAAAACACCGAACGACACACGCAACAAAAAGATCAGCTACATCCACGCCATAAACCTGTATTATTATTATCCTAGACCGTCCACTGTGACGTGATTCAGGTTCACTATGAAACGCACTTTTTGGCTCAATTTGTAGCCAAATGAAGCGCAAAAAAAGGCGGGGAGAAGGTGCCATGCACCCTCGACTGCAGCAAGACTATAGTGCGGTCAAATATTCGTGGGGCAACTTATCTTCAAATATCTCTTTAACGAGAGTGGTGAATAAATCTCATCTATACTTTGCACAGCAGTCTGTATCAACATGTCTTAACTAAATCATATTTTTCTTGAACAATTGGGGCAATATTGTAAAACTTTTCTTCTTAAATTTATATTAAATACTTTAAATCTCAGTCACACGTAAAATGGGATTGTTCATAGCACTTCCCGCTTCTCACACACATTTTGATTACCCATATGGCCTACGTCACAGCTCATGACAGCTCATCAAAGACATAATATGTGTAATTATGGCCTACGTCACGGCTCATGAAAGTTGAAAGACAAGTTTTAGTGGCTAAACCTGTTACAAAAAAATAATCTTATAGTGAACACATTTTTTGCACTAATGGTTCTCAAAACATGCGTTCAATAAGCATAATGTCTCGATTAGAATAACATGACGGACGTGCTAGTAAAAATAATATTGCCCCAGCTGTAAACATTTCAACATCTGTAGAAACCACCCACTTGGATTTTTTAAATGAGTATTTATTAATGAAGTTCCTAGAATACAGCTTCCATGTGTTTACAAAAATATTGATCTGTTAAGACAAATTGATGCAAGTCATTGTGCAAAAATTGGAGAACCTATGTTCGATAGTTGAGGAGATATTTGACCGCTCTATAATGTGGTGTCCCTCATAAGGGCGCCCACTGTGTGCACGTTTCGCACCGAAGACTTCAAAGACAACAGAGAGCAGCGGGTTATAAGAGTGCGCGATCTAGGATGTTCTATAATTCAGATCTAAGCTTACGACACACCAACACAACAAATATATAATTATTTACCACGGTAACCAAACAACACAGAAATACAAGCACATCCTGTCCTCTGCACTCACAGGCACTCACTGTTTTAGTGAACGATTAGGCACGATAAAATATTGACGATCTGGTGTCACAGCAATTGATTAAGGCAAAGGTGTCGATCAAATTTTATCTTTTTAGATTCTGTTTTGCTTGTGTTTTTTCAATCTTTTTTTTTACCTGTGAGCCACCGGGGGCAGTCGACGATTTGCTCTTGTCCTTCTAGCAGCAATAAAACAAATGGAATTGAAAGAAAGAGTGAACAAGTACACGGATTCTCAGGTGAGTAATCTCTCGTAACCCAGACACGTCCATTTACATAGAAAGTAACAGATTAAAACTTACTGTAAAGGTTATATTGTAACAATGAAGTGAAAGAATCTAACGTTAACCTCACACGACACTACTCTACCTATGTCTATAAGCTAGGTATAATGCACAGTATCGTTTTCCAGCATGGAGTGAATTTAAACAGAACAAAAGAAAGTTTTCCCCAGAGAAGGTGTAAGTCTTGTTGGTCACATGTACATCGCAGGTGCGCCATAGGTACTCCACGGGTAAGTCGTCACATATACACCATAGATACATCATAGGTACATCACAGGTACTCCACAGATAAGTCACAATACGTCAAAGGTACGTCATAGGTACGTCACAGGTACTTCACAGGTAAGTCACAGGTACATCATAGATACGTCATAGGTACGTCACAGGTAAGTCACAGGTAAGTCACAGATACGCCACAGATACATCATAGGTACATCGTAGGTACGTCACAGGTAAGTCACAGATACATCATAGATACGTCATAGGTACGTCATTGGTACGTCACAGTTACGCTACAGATGAGTGGCGCTATAGATAGATCATATGTACGTCATAGGTACGTCAAAGGTACGCCACAGGTAAGCCACAGATACATCATAGGTATGTCATAGGTACGTTACAGGTACTCCACAGGTAAGTCACATATATGCCATAGTTATACCATACGTAAGTCATAGGTACGCCAAGGGTACACAACATTCGCATTGGGTAGGAGTGAGATCGTCTTTAGGGTGCTATAGATTCAAATAACTAGCACCCCAGTTGTAACTGATGGCACAGGCTATACATGAAAAGAAACGTTGATTCAATCTCATTATTTACTTATTTATTTATTCATTTATTTGAATGTGTGTGTGAGTGTGGGGGGGGGGGGGGTGGGACTGGGCTGGGCTTTTTTTTTTAAAGTGGGGCGGGGGGGGGGGGGATTTAGGGCATGATGATCCTCTGAAGGGAAACGCTGAAAAATATGTCATAAAACAAAAAAAAAAAAACATCTCTTTGGTGAAGATAATTATTCATGAAAGCGGAATTGCGGAATTTACCTGCAGGTCAGATCTGTTTCTGCCGTTGCTTCTGGAAGTTGCCGCCCCTGTCTGTCCGTGCTGTAAGGACGAGCTGTTGGTGGTCGGGCTGGCAGCGTGTCTGGCGTAGCGGTTGCTGCCGCCACGCCCTGCCTCCGGAGGCTGGGACCGAGAGTCGCGTTGACCTGAGGGGTCGTAAATTGGTAGCTTTTAATTAAGCACAAAGAGGGCTATCCCGAAAAAAAGCTGTTTTTAGAGAAAGCCGAAGGATCTTTGTTCAGGTTCTTTAAAACACAAGGGGGGCTATCCCGAAAAAAATGCTGTTTTGAGAAAGCCGAAGGATCCTTGTTCAGGTTCTTTAAAACACAAAGGGGGCTATCCTGAAAAAAGCTGTTTTGAGAAAATCGAAGGTAGTGTTTTTGGACCCTTGTTCAGGTTCTTTAAAAGACAAGGAGAATGTTCTCTATAACCAACCTTCTCCTGTTCATTTCTTTAAAAGACAAGGAGAGTTTTCTCTATAACCAAACAAATATACACACACACCAATGAAACCAAGCTTCTCCTATAGGTAGGGTAATGCCCACTTTTGGTGTAGGTCAAGATTTCCGGAAACCCCCGAAATCTGGGTTAGCCCGCTTGTCTTTAAAAGCGACAAAGTATGGTATGGTACGGGTTTAAAACCTCCCTTTAATACAGCAAGTTTTCTCTTAAGAGGCAGGATCTCCGACATTATCGTTCTTCTTTCATATGACAGCACCCCTAAAGTTAGAAAAAATAATGCTTGAAAAGACAAACAAGATTATCATATTATACAATCAGGCCTACTTAAAACCCCAAGGCTTAACGTAAATGGAATCAAAAGCTGTTCAAGAAAAAACATTACATTTTTGTGGTAGACAAGCTATAGTAGAAGATAACATCAACTCCCCCCCAAAAAAACCAACAACAACAACAACACAAAAACAACAACAACAAACAAACAACAACAACAGACAAATGAAAAAAACCCACAAAAAACAACAGAAGTTAAATAAGCCTACTTTTGAAGATTCGAACAACGGTTATCTGTGCTGTAGTCTAGCGTGCTACCAGTAACTATTGAGCTCATCCTTCGTTGACCTGTGGCGGTCGTATCCCCAATAAACCCGCAGTATTTCTTTGTTTCCAACGTTGGTTGCTGATTAGATTTCATGCCCCCTTTTAACGCAGTAAGGTTGTTTAAGAGACGGAACCTCCGAATTTAACGTTCATCTCTGATAGGACTGGGCCGAAAGGAAGGAGAGTTTCCAAAAACAACTAAACTTCAAGAATGCCCAGTTAAGGATTCAAAGCAAGTCCATCTACTCCGTAGTCCATCATGATACTTAGTGAGCTAACTGAGCGCCTCGCCCAATCTCTGACCTCATTCCCTGCAGTGGTGATACAGTCAAACCCGTTTTAACAGCCACTTGTCCAAGACAAACACCTGTGCAAACAACCGCTTCCGATCTCTTCTTGCATTTTTATATTATAATGACATTGTCCAAGAGAACCACCTGCCTGAGACAATCATTTCTCTCCTAGACAGTGGCTAGCCATCTTGGACAGTTCCTCAGTATTTGATAAGATCCATTCAATGATATTCTGCATAGAAATGAATGGTGAATCAATATCGTGGAAGAAGAAGAAGAAAAAGAAGAAGAAGAAGAAGAAGAAGAAGAAGAAGAAGAAGAAGAAGAAGAAGAAGAAGAAAAGAAGAAGAAGAAGAAGAAGAAGAAGAAATAAAACGAAAAAGAACGACAGGAGCAACAACAGCAGCAACAACAACAACAGCAGTAGCAGCAGCAGAAGCAGCAACAGCAACAACAACAACACCATCACCACAACAACAACAACATCACCACTACCACCACCACAAACCAACAACAACAACAACAGCAGTAGCAGCAGCAGAAGCAACAACAACAACAACAACAACAACAACAACAACAACAACAACAGCAACATTACTATTACCACCACCACAAACCAACAACAACAACGACGACGACAACAACAACAACAACCAGGTGTGTAAAGTACTACTTACCCTCTGGGTTCCGAGAACTAGACATGTTCTCGCCCTGCCCCTGGCCTGTCGGCCGGACCTCGACCTCCTGAAAGTCCCCTCTCCTGGATGTAGTAGCTTGTGGCCTCACTACAGTACGTTGTGAATTGCTAGATCGTGCACTCTCTTTGGAAGATCCGCTACCCATTATCTATGGGTCACGCTGTGGAGAGAACGATACGGTTACATTTCTGTTTGATAAAAGTTTTATGGAGCTTGCAACTGCATTATGTCAGTTTTTTAAAGTTATAGTAAGAGTTTTACGGCACTAACAACGCAATAAGGTCGTACAGGTGCCGAAGAATAGATGTGTTACAAGAGAGTAAAAAACACAAAAAAGAAGGAGGAGAGATAAGGACGATAGATGTTTGATAGGAAAGAAGGAGCAAACCAGACCAGAGCTGCACCCGCCAACTATCCACGTTTGTGCTCGCAACAACATTTAGTCATATGAGGGCGCTTGCAGGTACGTTCAAAATAATGAGAAACATGACAATAAAAGTAAACCAAATCACGAATATTCCCAAAGATGATTAGAGAGACAAGTTGCATTACTTTGGACACGTCTTAGTTTTAGTAAAAGTTTTACTGCACTTGTAACATAAACAGGTCGTGGAAGTGCCGACAATAAGAGGTGTTACTTAAACTAGAGACTAACATACAAAGAAAAGGAGGAGAGATACTGACGATAGGCTTTTCTTAAAATAGGAACCGAGGAGAAAACCACACAACAGAACCCGCCTACCATCAACAGAGTAAACAGAAGAGAAAAAAACAACCGAATATTCCCCAAAATGATGAAAGATATAAAACCGTCTGTGGCGTAGCGGTTATGTACTTCGCTGTCATACACAGAAGACCTGAGTTTGATTCCCGTGTGGAGAGATTTTTATATCGAGTATCTCAGTCTTTCTGATCAGAAGTTGCATTCCTCTCAGCCCTGGTAGGCCTTGGCAGGCTAGGTTGAAACCCACCACGAAAATGATGTAAATTATGTCGTCGAGGGCGTAAAAAGCACTTGCACTTTTAAAAAGGCAAGAAGCATAGGCAAAACTTTGAAAATGTTATGAAAAAGTCGCTTGGATTGAGAGAAGAGAAGCACACTGGCATGGCAGGGGTGGTTTAGTGCACACTGGGAAGACAGCGGTCGTTCAGTACACGGGGGAACAGATAAGAAGTAGGACGTACAAGTGGTGCTCTTGAACTACACACTTAATTAAAAGGATTGCATAAAATGAACGCTTCGTTAAAAAGTTGTAAACGTGGGTGGTTGACGAGCACTCCTCCTCCTCTTTTGTACTTGTTACTCTCTTGTAACACCTCCAATCTTCGGAACTTATACGACCTTATTATGTTGCAAGTGCCGTAAAACTCTAACGAAAACTAAACTAAAAAGGTTGTAACTCTGTGAACACATATTATTCAAAAAGTTGCAAAACTTGGGATACTAGTTGAAATGCTGCATGCAATTCTTTAGACACATAGAAAAAAAAACGAGGCAATAATTTCGTAACAAAACTATTTGCAATACTGTGGACAATGACTCAATGACTGAAATACGTTGGACACACATTTTCAACGCCTGCAATTTTTTTCGGCCCACAGTTTTAAAAAGCTGCAGCAAGTTAGGCATGCAAATTGAAACGTCGAAACCTCTTTCGACATGCTGTAGGCCTACATATTTTGTAAAACTATGGACAAGAATATCAACAGAACAGCCCATGCCTTAAAAAAAGAAGTCTAGAGCAAAACAGATATGAGCAGGGCAAAAGAGCTGAACAACTCAAACCGGCGACAGTAAATGAAGAGGGTCGGCATGAAAACAAAGCAGAGTAAGAAAGCAAGTAAACAGGTAATGAGTGTAAGGATTTAACGCTCAGTTCAACACTATTTGTTTAATTAAGAGACAGGACCTCCGAATCCACACGTAATATCAACATTGAACAGGATCGACTCAAATGGGCAAAAAGTTCTATGAAACCTTCAAAACTCCACAAAACAACCAGATTTCAGGAGCACCCAGTCGGGGATTGGAACCGGGCAGTTCGCTCCGAGGCCCAGCATGATACAAACTGAGCTAACGGAACACCCGAAAGTGAGCAGAGGTTACACAAAACAGGACAAAGAAGCGATATATAAGACGCATCAGCTCTGTTCAAAAACTGGCAGACAAATTAGGAGAGAGACAGGGCACGAAAAAGACATCGATATATCTTTCCACTGCCATACACAGTTGCGCAAAATATCTAGCGATGACAAATTTAATAATTAAAGACAATTCGCTGACGTGTACTCTGCGACTTTTGTATCGTAGCTTGTTCGTTGCTCGGTTGCTTTTTTTGTTGTTGTTGTTATTGTTTTGCTACTGTTGTCGTTGTTGTTGTTGTTGTATGTTGTTGCTGTTGTTATTGCTGTTGTTGTTGCTGCTGTTATTACTGTTGTTGTAGTAGCTGTTATTGTTGTTATTGTTTTGCTGCTGCTATTGTTGTTATGGTTATTGTTGTTGTTGTTGTTGTTGTTGCTGTTGTTGTCGGGGTGAGGGCATTGATCTCTTAGGGTGGTGGAGCGGGTGAGGTCTTCCTTTGCATACTTTGTCTCGCAGGTAAAACCTGCACATTAATTTTACCCTTCTTCCCATTCCAGCTCTTCCTCAAATAAAATCCACTCTTTGACAAACACACACACACACACACACACAGACACACACACACACACACACACACACACACACACACACACACACACACACACACACACACACACACCATGCCCATCACTGCCTTCTACACAAAGAAAGAAAACACGTAGGGGGGGGGGTAGGGGGGGGGGGGGCAGGCGTGGCCTTGAGATACCTTTTTAATTTCTTTCTGAGCTATCTATTTACTTGTGTAATGGGTATTTTTATTCGTGTGTATATGATTACCTTTTTTATTTGTGGCTTATATTGTTACGCTCGTTTTTTTTAACGGAAAAAACATGAAAATGACCCCCAAACAAAACAATAGCCATCACTACCCAGTGGAAACTACCCGACAGTTTCATGACCATGAGTGTTCGAGTGTGAAATACGCCACTTTTTTTTTTATTGGAAGCACAAGAAGAAAGAGAGACATGCACACTCATTACGTTTTTGCTCTTACAGCCCGAAGATATATCACCTTTTGATGCGCCGTACGCACAGCACGCAAACCCTCGAGTTTATCGAAAGCTCTCGTACGATGTGGGAGCAAAGTTATAGCCCTACACACAAAAACACTGAGAATTTATGTTGTAACAGAAGCGTTATAACGATCCACCCGCGCTTTCAAGACACCCGATTGAACACCAGATGGGGATAAATTATAGTCATATCTGTTAGCGTTACCCGCAACCAAATGTTTCAGGACGTATATTGAAGATTTCGTTTTGATATGTTGGGATATAGCGCACTCTGCTGATGTAGCGTACACGGTAACTGGTTTTGGGGGGTGGGGGGGTGTTGTCCTTGGATTGTTTTCTTCAACATTTTACCCCCCCCCCCCTTACCCCTTTGACAAAATTTAGATCTTTCAGGGAATAAGCTGCTTCGATCCTGCCTGTCATGGTTAGCCCGGGCTGAGAGAGACACGACGTAATCGCAGGCAGACTGGATTTGATATAGGCCTAAATTTCCCTATACGAGATTCGATTCGAACTCAATTCTGCTGCGTTTGACGTCTAAGTGTCTAAATACTACATCAGTCAATGCTCTCTATAATTGCCACCTCATAGGAATCAGTTCGTGGTGTCGGTAGTCTAGTAGTAAGGCCAACGGACTCATTATCTTGAGATTTTAGGTTTAGAGGTTCGAAGTCCAGGTCAGTATAAAGTTGTGCCCTTGGGAAAGGCACTTTGCACGACCTTTCCCCATTTGGCTCTGTCCTCTAGAGGGCGGGCGTTCAATTCGGAGGTCTTGCCTTTTAGAAGAACTCACAATGTTGCAAGAGGCGTCGGTAGTCTAGTGGTTAGGCTACCGGACTCGTAATCGTGAGATTGCGGGTTCGGGGGTTCCAGCCTCAGCTCGGTCGGACGTTGTGTCCTTGGAAAGGCACTTTACACGAACTTCCCACTTGAATCGGTCCTATCGGAGACGGACGTTAAACTAGGAGGTCCCTCCCCGTAAATAACCTAATAGTGTTGATAGGGGCGTTAAACCCATACCATTTCACCATTTTCACAATGTTGCAAAGGGTGTTAAACCTGTACAATTTCAATTTCAGAAATCCGTTTGTTACGAGCAACAAGTACGGCCTCACACGCTCGGGTCACCTTCAACAGTACTTGTCAACGACAATTTAAAACTTTCGGTGTGGGGAAAGATACAATTGGGAGAAAGGAAGAAAGCAACACCACCCTCACCTCCCCCCCCCCCCCCAAAAAAAAAAAATTAATGTCAACGAACATGCTAATTTTCCACAACATAAACCAAGTTAAGCAAGCTTTATTTATATCTCCTTTGGAACCCGTCAAAGTATTCATGACATGAAGAGAGGGAAGAAGTCTTCGGCAATTTACTCCCTCTGTGTCTACCGCCGAAGCAATGTTGTATTTTTACAAATTGCTTTAAAACCGCCTTTCAAGACGTAAAAGGCCATACACTTAATCTGAAAAAATCAAGCGTCATTCTCCCAAGAAAATCAGGCGGTTAATATCTACACCCGCCTTCTCACCCCCCCCCCCCCCCCCCCCCCCGTCTGCCCTTCCTCCATAAAAAACAGGGAAAATAATCCTCTTCCTGGACAAGGATCTAAATCTATTTGAAGACGTGATATAATCCCCATATTTCAATCTATACCAGTCCTTCTCTTTTAATAATAATAATAACAATAATAATAATAATAATAATAATAATAATAATAATAATAATAATAATAATAATAATAATAATATAAAAAATAATAATACTCATGATATAATAATAATAATAATAATAATAATAATAATAATAATAATAATAATAATAATAATAATAATAATAATAATAATAATAATAGTTATAATAATAATAATGAATAGCAGTTATATCACTCATTTTCACCTCGATGAGATGCTTAATGGGCATTACAATACCCCAAAAATATAATCATCATCATCCAGTGCCAGATCTGGAACAGATATCGCCAATCATGGTTCTCCATTCATTCC